ATTCAGAAAAGTAAACAAAAATGCACCTAAGCACTTCAGAGTCACCATTCCTTTATTTAACAACACTGAAATGCATCTCTACCTTTGGCTTCTTGGGATGTGACACACCACTTGTCATCTCTGAGTATCACTGGTCCTAGTTGAACTCTATCTAGGAAATAGTGCATACCCAAAGCAATAGCCTGCTACAAATCATGAACTGCATTCTGGTGAACAACTAAAATTATTTTCCTCTGCTGGCTGCCAAATGCATCTATATTTTTCCTGGTTTGTGCAGGGTAATGAACCTGCAAATAAGTAAATCTGACTTTACTGTAATTTCTCATGTGTGTGTGTATGTTGAGAGAGTAACAATGTGTGATGATGCTGAATCACTACTCAATTATAGCAACAGGTCGATTCAATTAAATCCCAGGGGCCATGGATCAGTGTTCATGTCACAATCCCAGTCTGTACCTAGCCCAAGCTAGGGATACTAATGATCCAACCAGCGGATCAAATTCAGTGATGAATTCTAGTCACGTAACACCTGAGGCACATTGCACATACAGTAAGAAGAATTAAATCCCAACGAGATAAAAGGAATTGAAGCTTCTCTTCAGTGAAGAAGATATGAAACTCTGGGATAAGGCAGTTCTTCGGGAAAAGCCTAGGAACATGCAATTTGGGAATAAAGAATAGTTTGAGATTTATGTTAGTGTTATCTGAAATACCAGAAAGGGGGTAAATTTGGAATATGCATACACTATGTTTTATTAGCAGCAGGGTCAGAACTCCAGCTGCTTATATAAAATTGTGGCACAAAAGCTGAACTCAGTTTTAACATCTTTATACTCGTGGTATCAAAAATAAAACTAATTTATTTTGGAATTAAGTGTAAAGAAAGAAAAAAGTGTCTAAAATAATTTTTTGGCAGTCCTATTATTTGAAACACAAAAATGGTCAATTGTAGTGCACGTTTAGGGTTGGCAACTTTCTAATTACTGGTAAACAAACCCCTGAGGCCTCGCCCCCTGGCCCTTCCTCTCAGCTCTGCCCCCACCCCTTCCCTCAGGCCCTGCCCTTGTGCCGCCTATTCCCCTCGAAGCCCCACCCCAGTCACTTTCTCCTCTCCCCCCACACATCACTTGATGGATCGTCTCCACCTCCTTCCCCACCTCCCTGCACTGGGCTCCCTTTGCTCCAAGGCTGGGATGGGAGCTGCTGCATCCTGACAAGGAGCCTGCCAGCAGGCAGGAGGCGACCTTGAATAAGCAAGGGCTGGTGTATGGTCACTACATCTGACTGGACACTGTCAGGTCCCCTTTTCTACTGGACTTTCCAATTGCAAACCAGGTACCTGGCAACCCTAAATGGCACCCAGATACAGAAGCCAAAAACCATTCTGTCCAAGTAAAACTCAGACAGGTGGCAACCCTATGCATGTTTGAACTATGTTTAATATGTAAAAATATCAGCTCTAAATCTGCAGGCTGATAAGGGGTAGAACCCAGCACTTTTGAGAAGCCTACTAACTTCAGCTTGCAATATGGTCATAGTTAGTTCCTGATTCAAGTAAATTGTTTCCTCGTTAATTTTACGGTAGCTATGAATAAATTCTGAAGATGCAAAATATAAAAAATTTAGCTATCAACAAAACATATCTTCAGCTATATGCAAATTGACAGTTCTTTTCGTTAAAAATTTGTAAACTACCTAGGCCATAAAATCTGATAAAGAAAGTAACATTTTCCCAATCAAACAGGGGAAAAAAATGCATTCTTAAGTGGCAGCAGCTCAGACTGGTGTGCTGGACATTCAGGATGTATTTCACTTTAGTATTTAATTATAAAAAATTCTAATAGCAAGAGTATACTAAATACAGGCTGGGAAGGGTTAGATTTTTATCTGTAAATGTCTGTAAATGTTGATTTCACTGTTCACCCCCAAAAACTGATGAAAAATTGTCCACCAATAATAATTGGAATTTTTAGATAGGCAAAATAAGAAAAACAGTACTTGAGAACCTATCAGAGTGTGATTTAAGGATACTTTCTTTGTATATTTTGATATGATGATGACAAGTTGTGTTTTAATGGTTATAACACTTTAACTGTTTGAATCTCAATGACTATTGTAATTAAATAATTATCTGACTTTCCCCATTATTTCTCACAACTGTGAAAATGTAAATCCATAAAAATAAAAAAAATTGCTTAAAACCCATAATTTTGTGCAACTGTGAAAATAAATAAAAGTATAAAAATACTTAAAACAAACATTATTATCCATCAAAATTATAAAAAGCCCAAATTCTCCCAAGCCTGACTAAATATATTTGTCTCTGAAACTCGGCATCTTACTAAGTATACATAAATAAAAATGTACATAAAATATTTCCTGATTTAAACTGCAGATTGATCTTTTGTATGTTTTACTGATGATAGAGTATAGTAACATGTAGATAACCTTATTCTCCCTTTTCAGCCCAAGATATTTATTGGTTTTTCAATTTTAAAATGCATTCGGTGTAAAAGGATAACGGGGTGCATCTGAAGGAAGTGAGTAATACATATGTAGGTGGAATCTATCTAGTCTCAGAACAGGACACAAATTTCGCACAGTGGTGTTCAGAACCTAGAAGTGTCTTGGCCAAAATGGAACTGTTGACAGCTATAAGCTCCATGTACCTGGTTTTCATGAATCCATGTCCCTCCTGGTCTCCTCACCCCCAATTCCATGCCCTCCAATTCTGGCTCAGCCCCACAGCTAAAGCAGCAAATCTTATACTCAGCATCTGGTCAGTTTATATCATGTTTGTAAAAATAGTTCTTTATATCTTTGGAATTCCCACACTAAACCCCAACTTCAACCCCAACCCTTACTCCCACTGCATCTCTAGAACACTGTTATGCAAGGTCAACAAATTTGGAACTTGTAGGGTAAGGGGCCAAAATTTTAGCAGTATTTAGACGCCTAAAGATTCAGATATTCAAATAGTAGGATTTTCAAATGCACTTAGTGGTCTTAGGCACTTTTGAGCATAAGCTTTCGTGAGCTACAGCTCACTTCATTGGATGCATCCGATGAAGTGAGCTGTAGCTCACGAAAGCTTATGCGCAAATAAATTGGTTAGTCTCTAAGGTGCCACAAGTACTCCTTTTCTTTTTGAGAATACAGACTAACATGGCTGCTACTCTGAAATTAGGCACTTTTGAAATTCTGACTAAATGCCTATCTCCATCTTTAAGCATTAAACTACCAGTCATTTCAGAAATAGGAGGACACAAGAAAGTTAGGAGATTTTTGGGACACAATAAACATTATAACATTACAACTCCCTTCCCATTTTTTCCCAGTCTTCCCAGAAAGACTGTACACTGGGGATGAGAAATTTCAGAGGGACTGGTTTCCTTTTTCAGGAAGTTGGGGGAAGAGAGTTGAAAATTGGGCTTGAAATAGAAAGCAAGCTTAAATCTGGAGGAGCAACCCATAATAATGTTAATTAGGTAATGCTGTGCAATGTAAAGCACTATGTAATAACTATTATTATTACAATCCTAGGAAAAAAATTAGCTGTTGAATTGGTTTAACACCCGCAACCCTTGAAATTTCTTAAAATCCCTCATTCCTCTCATGTCTATTAACCATTTCACAGATCTTTCTATGTTACTAGGTAGCAAAATTAACAATCACATTTATTAATTTGAGACTAAAGTAATGTACTGTTATAAATAAGATATGATAAAGAGAGGTTGCTTCTGGCAGTGTCCTTCCTTTCAGATTAAATTTTAAAGTGAGTGAAAAGAGGTTAATTTACATTAAAAATTAAAGGTAGTTTTGTTCCATATGAGACTATTATTTTAAAACATCATGGTCCAAATCTGCCCACAGATACAGACAATCCAACTCTCGGGGATATCAGTGGGAGCATACCTGCGTTATCTGATTGTGCAACCCAAAACGAATATAGCTGACTGATTATTTTTTTAAAACATGCAAATTCAATTCTCTCTCGGTTGGGATTAAACTTTGTAGGGAAGATTGCACAAGGTGAAATGTACCCTAGTGCAGATGGCCTCTAGAAAGATCTAGGCACCCATAAGTGTCTTTAAAACTAACATAGGGTAGGAATTTTAAGGCGTGACAAAAATTTACACAGTGGAATATTCCAGACATTGATAGTGACAATATTACACAGGTAATCTTTCTGTAGGGATGAACTGTTTGGAATAATTTGTTCAGGTCTCTGTGTGAAGCACACTATTTATGTTAAAGTCCTTGTGGTTTACCATTACTTTTTCTTCTTGAAACTTACTTATTGTGGCCAATAACAAAAAATCCAATTCTCCATTTATATTTGACTTCCATCTTTCTTAAAAATATCTAGTTAATCATATGGTCAAAACACTCTGATTCTCAGAGATTTTTGTGACTGGTCTTCTGTTTGTTTTTTTCAGGATTCCGATGCTAAGCTCCAAAGCCACACAGCTTTTCTATTTCAAACACTTTATTAAATTAAATGTACTCTGCATTACAGCTGGTGAGAATCCCTTAACAGTGAGACCAATGCAGTTCTGCTGCCCAAGGAGGGACAGGATTGCGAGGACACAGTGTATATCAATGCATTGTAGAAGCTCTCTGAACAGCAGGCGCAGGTGGACATTGGCTGGTTCTGAGGACCAAACGATCCCCACACTGTGCAGTTTCTCCAATACTAACTCCTCAGGGGATAGGGCTGCATTTGGGCCATGGAGGGCTATGTCTACCATTGGCATCTGCCCAGTGCCCCATACAACTAGCTGGAGTGCTAGGCTGTGGTCTTGGCCCCAGAAGCATTTCTTTTTGAAAAAGAGATATATTTGCACTATTTTGGATTCTGTATTAGCATTAAAATTTTAAACTACAGTATACAGTTCTGATGTAATGCTATAATTCTATATGCAGGCTACATATATAAAAATATATATTTTATGTGTAAACTTAAATAGAAGAAAAATATAAACTGAAAATATACAAACCTGGCCATCTGAATCAAAAGCCAAGCAGGCAACTCCATGTGTATGCACATCCTTAAGAACAGAAAGAGTCAGTACACTGTAGGAATCCCAGATGCAAATGTAAGGGTCCTTCCCAACCTGTCCAGTAGCAACTAAGGTTTTATCTGGGTGTACAGCCAGGCTAGAAGAGAAAATAGTTTAAACCCACACTTAATTCTCTAGTTCAGCACAATATTGTAGAGTAATCAAAGATGAAAACAAATCACTGATTTTTTTCAGTTTTCAAAAATCCCAACTCCTTTAACATATCAGAACCTTCATAGCAACAATCTCTAGGGAAGAGAATTTCAAATTGTTTCCATCTTAATTTAGCTTGCTAAATTTAAACAGTATGTTCAACTGAGACAGATTAAGACGATCAACACATAGTACAATTCAGCACACAGTCAGATTTTAGCTAGTGTATTGTCAACAAAAATATAAACTATTGTATTTTAAATAGTTTCATTTATCTGATAGGCCTGTTTCTTCCATGGGCCTCTCTTTGTATTTCCATGGTTTTAGAAATTAGTATGCAAATTTCAGTTCAAATTTAAAAAAAAAGTAAGCCAGCAGCTGAGTAAAATGTATTTTTCACAATTAATTTAAACTACAGGAAGGCCTTCATCATCATCGTTATATATTTTTTTAAAGAATCAAAACCTCAGAGGGGATGGGGAGTCAAACTACTGCTTCTACCTCTGAAACAAGGAATTGCATGTGTTTATGGATATATTTTTAGTTACTAAATCCTCAGGAAAGCTGAAATTTCCTGTACCTATATATTTTACCTTATTTTCTCTGATATTCAAGAAAAATTAGCAACAGCCATATCAAACAGTACTCGTGCTACCTCCTTTTTGTATATAGATAGCAATGTTTAAAAAATACTATGCTGGGTTTTTAGTTATGTAACTATGCTGGGTTTTTAGTTATGTAACTCCCATTGGGGTTACAGAGAAACTGATTTTGAACACTGCCCTTATGCATCTCTTTAAAAGTAAATATATTATAAAGTATGTCAAGCAACATTCTTACACTCTTTGTTATTTGTATATGCTTGTTACTGCAAAATAGTATAACCCAGGCCCCGCATACTCTGCTGCAAGGTAGACCTAAATTCACTGACCAACCCCCTCCCCCCCGCAAGCCCCAAAAGCCCCCCCGCCCAAAAAAAACCCAAAAAACTTGTGGTATATCATGCTGTTCCAGAACATCAAATTCAAACCAACAAAACTCAAACTTAGTAAAACAGGAAATGAAGGGTAAGTTTCATATCAATCTTTTGAAAACCAGGAAATACAGAATTAGGAGAAGGGGTGTCAGACCCCGCACAGAGGAGCAGGCAGTCCTCACCCCAATATCTCCCTACTCTCCTGCCCAGATCTCAGCTGGCTTTCACTGAGAGTCCCTGGCATAGCAAACTGCAAATTCAGAGGCAGCTTCAAATAAATATAAAAATGGAGGTTACAAAACGAGACACAAAAAAGAATACAATCAATACAGTAGCCAGGGCTGGCTCTACAGTTTTTGCGCCCCAAGCAGTGAAAAAAACTGCCCCCGCAGACAGCAAAAGGAAGAAGCTGCCACTGATTTGCCACCACGGCGGGCGGAACAGAGAAGCTGCCGCCAAATTACTGCCATGGCCGGAGGAACTGCCGCCCCTTTCTAACTGCTACCCCAAGCACCTGCTTGGAATGCTGGTGCCTGGAGCCGGCCCTGACAGTAGCCCCTGTTTTGTTTATATTGTTAAGTTCAATTTTACAATAGTCTAGTATTTTCAATTTTTCTATTGGCAATGAATATTTATGTTGGAGTAGTCAGAGGACACTAGAGATTTGAGAGCTAAGCTTGAGCATGGCTGGGGGAGATGGAGGCATTGCCCCCCCAAACTGCAAGCCTCTGGCAGGCACAAAATCCCCCCCCCACACACACACACACACAAAGCCCCATTGGCCTGACTGGGGCTGCCCCCCCTAAATATAGAAGTCAAACTATGCCTATGGAGCTAAGTAGGAAATATTTGGAGCTTTTGGCACAGAAGAAGCGCGGAGGTGGTTTAAGATTGTGGGATAAGAAATTAACTGGATGTCTGCTAAAATGATCAGCAGTGAAATAGGTAACTATCTGAAAAGTTTCATCATTCCTTTTTAGAAATTACCCATTCAGATGAATGGGACACTTACAGTGTTCTCAGAAGTATCATTTCAGGCTGACTACAGATTCAGGAGACAACAGTGAATCAGTTTACACTCTGTTCATGTTTACTTCCATAAAAGTTACACATGGGGAAAAACACTTAGAATCTGTGGTAGGAGGTGAATTAGAAGGCTAAATATCTAGCTGGACCACATAGGGCTCAAATTAGAACATCTTTCACTATGATTATTCTGTAACTAAATACATTGTTTGGAAGAGAATTACCCAAATTAATTGTGGCTGTCCATTAAAAAAACCCAAAAGAATAGAGAATACTTTTGAGGAATAAGCGTATTGGAGAGCACGCTATTTAGTGTGTTGCCCTATTCCTTTAGGTGCCACCATTTTGTTTCTGTTCTAGGAATACAATAAAGAAGTAGCCAGGGCCGTAATCAGGGTGGGGCAAGTGGGGCAGCCACCCAGGGTGCAAAGCCATAGGGGCAGAAAGATGGGGCCAGAGGTGCCCCCCCAACCCAGACAGGCTGGGTGGCCTGCTGAGGTGAGGTAGAGGTGGTGTTCCCTCCCTGAGCCCTGTCTGACGTCACCGGACCAATCCACGTGGCATCGCCACTCTCCCCCAAAAACATTCCTCCCCAACCCGTGAGGTGTGCGCCCCACAGTTTGCAAACCTCCATGGGGTGGTCACCTGTCCCCCTCCCCATTATGAATAATTACATGTCACCTCTGAATGGGGTGGAAAAATGACCCCCAAAAATGGTATGGGGTGCAAATATGCTTGTTCGCCCTGGGCACTAAAATGGATCTGGGGGTAACCACATTAGGACCTAACCCAGCTGAAATAAGCCTCCCCACTGCTGCTTGCTCAAAGGAGCTCTGATTTTTTCCTGGTTTCACAGGCTGCTCCGTTTGAGGGGAAAGTACTCCCTGTCTAGAACATATTGAATGCAACATCATTTTCCCATAGCCATTCTCTCCACAGGAATGCAGTGTATGTCTGAATAGCAGTTATGTGGTTGTAATTTTTAAAGATGCTGCCACTGAATTGCATTTATGTCAGATTGAAAGAAAAGGGGAATCTGGAAGTTAAAGGGTATGTCTACACTTTGAACTGGGGATGCAATTCCCAGTTCAAGGAGACATACCTGCACTAAAACAGAGTGTCGCTGTGGTGGCACTAGCAGTGGGAGGAGCTAGTCATCTGGAGTATGTGTTTAGGGCAGGGGTTTTCAACCTTTTTTCATTTGCAGACCCCTAAAAAAATTCAAATGGAGATGTGGAACCCTTTGAAAATCTTAGACATAGTCTGTGAATCAGCAGGGGTATATAGACCACAGGTTGAAAACCTCTGGTCTAGGGTCTCAGAGCATCTAGCCCCTCCTGCTGCCATGGCTACACTGTTTCTAGTTCAATAGCTCAATCAGAGCTAATGCAGGTACGTCTCCTCGAGCTGGAAATTATATTCCCAGCTCAAAGTGTAGACATACTCTGAAGATTCACACATGTCCCTCTAAAATTTATCAACTATAACTTCAACAAACACTCACACCCAGATTCCAAGATTCACCTACACACTAACTGGGTAGCTGGGCTAGAAGTTCTCTGCTCATCTGTGTCTACCTTCACTGCATCCTGATGACAAAGTATTTCCCCTCCTAGTCATCTTTTTTATTAAAGCATGTGTGTGTGTGTATTATATTACACACACAGAGAGAGTTTCCCTGTCTTTACCACACAGGTTAAATTCAAATGTTCATGGTTTAAGCATTAACCTTTCTTTCAAGTGATCCAAAGGATTACTAGTGTAAGAACATAAGAATGCCCATGCTGGGTCAGACCAAAGGTCCATCTAGCCCAGCATTCTGTCCTCCAACAGTGACCAATGCCAGGTGCCCCAGAGGGAATGAACAGGTAATCATCAAGTGATCCCTTCCCTGTTGCTCATTCCCAGCTTCTGGCAAACAAATGCTAGGGACAACCCCATCCTGGCAAACAGCCATTGATGGACCTATCCTCCATGAATTTATCTAGTTCTTTTTTAAACCCTGTTATAGTCTTGGCCTTCACAACATCCTCTGGCAAAGAGTTCCAGATTGACTGTATGTTGTATGAAGAAATACTTCCTTTTTTTTGTTTTAAACCTGCTGCCTATTAATTTCATTTGGTGACCCCCAGTTCTTGTGTTATGAAAAAGAGTAAAAAACACTTCCTTATCTACTTTCTCCACACCAGTCATGATTTTATAGACCTCAATCATATCCCTTTGTCGTCTCTTTTCCAAGCTGAAAAGTCCCAGTCTTATTAATCTTTCCTCATACGGAAGCCGTTCCATACCCCTAATCATTTTTTTTCCCTTTTCTGAACCTTTTCCAATTCCAATATATCTTTTTTGACATGGGCGCCCACAGCTGCACGCAATATTCAAGATGTGGGCATACCATGGATTTATATAGAGGCAATATGATATTTCTGAAGTGGGTTCTTGCCCATGAAAGCTTATACCCAAATAAATTTGGGCCACAAGGACCCCTTTTTTAACGATTCCCAACATTCTGTTCACTTCTTTGACTGCCGCTGAACAAGTGAGTGGATGTTTTCAGAAAACTATCCACAATGATTCCAAGATCTCTTTTTTGAGTGGTAACAGCTAATTTAGACCCAATCATTTTATATGTACAGTTGGCATTATGTTTTCCAATGTGCATTACTTTGCATTTATCAACGTTGAATTTCATCTGCTGTTTTGTTGTCCAGTCACCCAGTTTTGAGAGATCCTTCTGTAGCTCTTCGCCGTCTGCCTGGGACTTAACTATCTTGAATAGTTTTGTATCATCTGCAAATTTTGCCGCCTCACTGTTTACCTCTTTTTCCAGATCATTTATGAATATGTTGAATAGGACTGGTCCCAGTACACACCACTATTTACGTCTCTCCATTCTGAAAACTAACCATTTATTCCTATCCTTTATTTCCTATCTTTTAACC